GATGATTATGATAATACATCATGGGGAAGACAGATAAGTTCGGTCAGTATTTAAAAAATAAATAAGACAGTATGATCGCTCCATTTAGCTGGGAAGTTGTGGAAAATTTCAGAACGATCGCGTTATATAAACGACATGAATAAGTAGATAAGCATATAGAATCACTAAAGCATTATATAACACCAGCTATGTGTAATAAATTATGTTATAATCAAAAAACCTAATTACATCTAAAAAATCATACCAGATATTCAAGGCAATCTAAGAAAAGGAACCCTAAAAGTTACAAATAATTCGTTTCTATATAATAAATAAAACTAACTTCCTCAAAGCTTCAAGAAAGTTAAAAAGTTAGGTTATGACCCAGGGGTAGGAAGCACTTTGCTTATATAAGTGACGGGCTGGGGAAGGTGTGATGAAGAGATCTTATACGAGCAATAAGGACCTATAAAAATTGAAAGCATATAAACCTAATACTAGTTAGATAAATCAAACAAAGTTATATATAAATTTTGAAATGCGAAAGGAAGCACCCTAGAGGGATTCGATTTGACTCCGTAAACAAAGTAGGTAAAACAGAGATGAGTAGATGCAGATTGAGAAGGGCAACAATCGACAGGTTTGTGGGCATTTTGAGCTGGCTTTGCTTCACTCTTTGATGAGATGTCTGCAGGACCAATGTGGATGTTTTGTGCAATAGCGACAGCGGATAAAGCCCGACGAGCCCCTGGGTAATGGTGACTTTGATTAATGCGAGCAGGATCGTGTGATCCTACAATGCTGAGATACGTTCCAGATACGCAATACCCTGTAGGTCTCGTGTGGGCTTCTTCCAAGCAACGATACCAATCTGTCTGATTCTGGACAGGACAGGCATTTATCCGAGTAATTGCATCACCAACAAGTAGCCCCCGATTGCCGGTAACAACAGAACCCTTTCCAATTAAAGAAAATAGATAAATGAATTAAATTTTATGTTACTGAGTCTAAAATAGGATATTAACAATTATTGTGGCTCAGGAATATAAAGTAATTTTTCTATAAAAAACATCTAACCTCTTTAAGGTAAGTAACACCGACACCTTGTCCTGTAAAATAAGCTGGCATAAGAACCCATGGTAAGGAGTAAAACAAAGCAATACTAAGAAAAACGATAACAGCATTATGCCAGACACCAGCACAATAAATGCGAAGCTGGCGAACAGGACTCAAGCTTTGGAGGTCATTTCTATCTAGGTTGACAAAGGCTCCCGGATAGACACCCAGCAAGAATATTCCGAATCCGTGTAATCGCACGCGTTCCCTTAGTGCTGCCAAAGCATGACCTGCCTCATGAAGAATGGCACAGATAAGAAGTGTTAACATATAAAAGCCAAGATGGCTAAGAGGGAGGTTTACTCCAGGCATCTATGAGGTAAAATAAAAATTAAATGCATACCACTGGCTTGATCACTTGTTTCTCAATGGGCTGCTTTGTAACAGTGTTATAAACTAAAAGTAATAGAATAAAAACGCTCATAATCATGAAAAGAGATGAAAAGAGGGCGCCAGCGGAAAACCAGGCATTCCATGGAACAAACTCAAGCTGGCAGATTCGGTCAAATAAATAATTAAAACGATGCGTGAATAAATTTGCTTGAAGCAAATTAAACGATACACCGATGCGAGAGGTAAGTTCAGAGTACCATTGCTTAGTAAAAGAATTATACCGAAGGCAGAAATCAGTCAAATACACAGACGCCCAGAAACCAAGAAAATAATGTAGAGCGTTTAAAGATGACATAATTAAATAAAAATAGGCATTTGAATTATAACAGTGTAAAAAATAAGTCAGAAGAGAGGTAAGATAATATCAGAGCGATGAGGGAGGAAGGAGTATGGGCGTGACAGGTTAGAAGGTTGCGCCCCAGGTATATTATAAGAGACGCTAACTATGTAAATAAATAATAATAATAACATTTTACCCT